GGCGGCGGGCGCTGCGCATGCGTAGGCCGGGCCCGGCCGCTGCCCGCCGGCGATTCCTGGGCGCCCCAGGCTCTTCGTGCTGCATATTATAGCTGCACAGGACAAAAGCCACTCAGTATCACGGCTGGCTGCGGGAGACTTCAGACGCCGGGCAGCCTCCCAGGCCGAGGCCCGCGGCCGGCCCAGAAGTTTCCCTCCATCCGGCCCCCCACCCCACTCCGGTGCCTGGGGCTGCAGGGCTGGCGTGGGTGCGTGGGCCAGCGCCAGGGCCGGCTGGTGGGACGCCTGAGTTCCGGGGCCTGGGTGGGAATCTGGCACCGGCTTTGCCGCCTCGCGTGCGGTCACGCCAACAGCGGGGCCTTCACGCCTCAGCACCTGTCCGGTGCCCTTTGCTCCTGCCTCCACACGGGTCAGGTCACACTGCCTTAGCCCGCTTCCGCTCACTCCTCCAGCCAGTCCTCTACACTGGCCACCTGAGTTTCCTAACATTGCCCAGATCGTGTCACCCAGCCGCTCCCCCACTAGAGCCTTCACTGGCTCCCCCACTGTCTCCCGCAGCAAGTGCCTCCTCAACCTCCCAGCACGTGGTGGGCAGATGTCATCGGATGACTTTTTTTGACTCAGGCACTAGGCGGGCGGTGAGCCAAGAAGGCAGAGACCCGGGTCTGTTGGTTTCCACCTGTACCCCCAGTGCCTGGCACAGAGAAGGCAAATAGCGATATACTCGAACTGTAGCAATTTCCCCAAGGCATCTCCAGCTCCTAATGCATGGTGAGCATTCCATGAATGTTTGATGATGCTGACATGTGATGCGGGAGAGACCAGAGTAACATGCAGACATCAGGCGAAGTCATTGCTGTTGTAACTTCAGAGGTATTCACCTATCTCAGAAGGGGTTACAGGCAGCTTCTGAAGATCGAGGGGAGGGGATGCAAGGGGACTTATGCCTCCTGAGCCCTGTGGCCTGGACAGAGAGAAGCTGATGAAGGGGCAGCTGGATCAGCATGAGGAAGCCACTCCTTAGAGAAACTTAGGCAGGAGCTCAAAACGGGGAGGGCCATTTACCTGTTCGTAGTGAATGTGGGTTGGGGGCCAGGCTCTGGGGTGAGAGTTGAGCTCAAAGCTTGCCTCTCCTGAGCAGTGGGGAGAATGGTATGACTTTGTTAAATTAGCTTTTGTTAAGTGGAGCACAGGATGCTGGAAGGTGAGCAAGGTTCAACGATAGACCACAAGAGACATTGAAATGGAGAAATTGATCACTCACAGGTCCTGGAGGAAGTCCACAGCACACCTCAAGGGGTCACACGGGGAGGTCAAGGCAGAGTACAGACAGAGAGAGGCAGGACCTGGGGCGCACGCCTTTATTAGAGTCTATGGGTGGAGTGCTATGGGGTTCCCGGGCAAGGACTGGATTGGCCAATTCAAACCAAGTAATGCCGTTTTGGTAAGCCCCTGGGGCTCTTATCTAAAGGGGTACATAAGGCACACAGGCATTGGGAGGAAGTGGAGACTGCTGATCACAAGGGCTGTTAGACAAAGCCTGTCGTCAGCGTTTGTTGTGGCTCTGGGCTGCTGCTGCCAAGGGCGTGCGTGTGCGTGAAGACATTAGCAAGAGGTCTCCGCAGGCTGCGTGGCCAAAGTGGATGCAGATGCAGTACCAGGGAGAGCTGAGCAAAACTCTGGACAGGTGAATAGCACGGTGAGGCTGCCGTGGCCAAAAGCACGCGGAGGGCTGGCATAGGGCCGGGCCACAGGAGGTGCCTGTTGGGTGTTCTCTTTGATTTGTCCGTTTGGCATCCATGCCTCACAGTTAATCAACTATATTTCTTATCTTTGTGTTCCTGATGCTCTGGCCTTACAGACCCAGGGAGAGACTGCCCCTCCCTGGGCCAGCCAGTTCTTAGAGACGGCAAAGGGAGCTCATATGCAAACCAGCTACTCCCACTGCCTCTCTCCTCACACACGCCCTCCAAGCCCCCCGGCCTGGACGCCTCCCTTCCACACCCCACAGGTAAAGCCTGGCTGACTTTACCCAGCATCCCTTCCGCAAAGAGGCTCCAGCCCCCGCTGGACCAGGTGAGCCTAGTCTATGTTCTCAGTGGCCCCTGTATTTCTTCTGGAAAGCACCTAACACAGCTACAATTAAGTAGTAGATCCTACGAGCACCCATGTGATGTTTGTCCAGAGCGCCAAAGTGCCATGAGGACAGGGCAGTGGCTGGCTTACTCGGCTGACCCTCTCTGCCATGCACAGTAAGCATTCGATGTTGCTGAATGATGTTCCCACTTTGGGATTTGGGTTTCTCAGAACCGGGGAGGCAGACCTTGTAAGAGTGATCGGTGACCGCCCTCCGGGATTCTTTGCTCCTGTTTTCACCGATCCCCCACCCCAAGTTCACAAGAGCACGGGAACCACAGGCTGCCCTTCTCCCCCGGCCCCTTAGCCATCTAGCCACCTGCAAAACGCCAGCCAGCTCACACCAAACACATCCTTAAGCTCTTACCTAACGCAAGCTGGCACTCAGCACTTAAAGAGTTGACCAGGTGCCTGACATTTTAAGTAGCATTTCCCTAATCACAGAAGTAGCCCATGCTCATAGCAGAAACGGCATCCACACAAATGCACACGGGTAAAGCTGGACTCACTCACAGCCCCTCCCCCCGGGACAACCTTGCTTCTGCGTTCTGGGACTTGCTCTTCTGGTCTGAGATGTCTGTGGCTGGATAGCATGACGTGAAACAAGGTTCGTTCCGTATCTTAACAGCAATAAAGTCGCGCAACCCATCAAAGGCTCAGAAAGCAAAACCGACAAATCACTGAAGTCGTAATTAGTAAAAGTTTTCTGTGCACACAGCGGACAGTTCTGAACTGGGAGGGCTCAAATCAAAACGTGGAACGAGGCCCAGGGGTGCATTATCATAAAGCCACTTACTCAGTGAGGTGGCGGTGACTTTATTCTTCCCACGGATGGGTTATGATGATAGAATTTTCCTAAATTATAAGGAATTGGCCAGTGGTTACCTCACGTCGACTTTGGGAAACTTTTTGTTTACGATTCCAGAGGCATAACAAGAAAAGTCCCAGGTCAAGTTAACCTTGCAGAGGAACCTAAATTACGCTTTCTACCAGGGAACCGGTTTTGTCTGCTCAGGGAATGTTCAGGGCTGGTCTCCCTGTAGCTTTAGCTCCAACAACCCCTGTGATGCGGGTGCCATCATTCCCCCATTTTCCTGATGGGGAAATTGAGCAGACTGAGTTTGAAATGATTTTCAAATAAAAGGCTTTTAAAACCACTTGACGAGAAAGCACATGAAATGGAGTGCATGACAGAAAAAAAAAAAAATTACCAAAAAAAAAAAAAAAAAATGTAGACTTTGAGCCAAATCAAAATTCTAACCATGAAAGGTACAGACCTGACAATGTTTCAGGGAGCCCCTCACCAGGAGTTTGTCAAAGGTTTGAGTGTGACTGGGTGTGCGCCTTCTTGGGGGGGGGGGCGCCACAGATGAGACGTGCCCCCCCCAGTGCCACAGCCCGGTGGCCATGATGTCTTCATGTTACTAGTGATGCTGACCTCGATCACCTGGTAAGTTTGTGCTGCCAGGATCCCCCACTGTGACCTTGCTGGTTTTCCCTTTGTATTTACTAAGTATTTTGCAAGAGGTACTTTGGGACTGCACAGGTATTGTTTTGTGTTTCACCCACTTTCACTGCTAAGTTTAGCACCCACTGGTGGGGCCTCTTGCCTGTGGCAGTTATTAACAGGTGATTATCACTGTGAAGTCCTAATGGTGATTTTCCATCTCCCTCATTCCTTCCACTGTTATTAGTTGCGATTCTGCAGCTATCCATGACTCCCCGAGGGCCTTGTTGGCCTCAAGTACATGCAGCTGTGCTGTCCAGTTTGCCCAAGTCCCCACGGCTTCTCTGTCGCCTTCCTGGCCCCTGGGCACTTGCATATATCGCCCTGCCCTTTCTCGATTCTGCCCGGCGGCTGCCCTCCTCCCATTGCCCCCAACCCGGCAAAGCCTCTCCAGCGCCTTCCCCTCCCCGCGGGCTGGGCGGCGGCATGCAGGTTCCGCCGGCACCAGGGCGCACAGGAGCCACCTGTTGACACAGTCGTGGGTAACCCAGGCGGTCAATTATTAACCCGCCGCGCAGCCGGCACCAGGAAACTCGAGCCCGCGGCGAAAGCGGAGCCGGGCCCGACGGCGGCGGGAGGCGCCGGGCGCAGGGAGCCCCGTCGCCGGCCATGGATGCAGGTAAGGGCACGGGGACCCGTGCACGCTGAGCGCCCCCCCGCTCCCGCCCGGGCTCCTGGGGTCCCCGCGGCGGGCTGCGGGGCGGACGGGCGGGGAGGCCGGGGCGCGACCGGCCTAGTTCCGGAGGCTCCTTCTGCGGGGCCCCAGCCCTGCCCTGGGACGGCCCTGCCCTGGGACACCCCCGCCCCACACTGGGGGAACCAGAAGTGTGGAGGCTTCGGCCATGTCCCCGCCAGCTCTGTGGGCACCCCTGCGGGAGAGCTGCGAGGGGGGCCCTTGGCGTGGGCCAGGAGCCCCTGCGGCCCCACTTCACCCCCTCAGGGCAGGCAGCGGGCTGAGCAGTGGCAATTTGGGGGGCGTTTTCCACTCCCCTCCCCCACGCCCCGTTCTTCTTCTGGCGATGACCACGTTCGCCCCTCTGGCCAGGCTGAAGTCCCTAGAGCAAGGGTAGGGGCGACCCTG